AACTTTTAAGTTTCACCTGAAACTGATTGGCAACCAGTAAAGAGTCCTGGAAAGAAATGATATTGCAGAAGGTATGAAGGAATAATTAAGGAGGGACTTGCAGTCCAAACATTACACAGTCTGGAGACAGAAGCAAGAGTGAGAAGAAGAAGAAAAACCCTCAAAATAGCCCTGCTTGATTTTCTTCAGCATGAGACAAAGAGAAACTTGGGCAGCTTTCAAAATGAATGTCAATCTTTCAAAAAAGAGTCGCATCAAGAAACAAACACTCCAACTTGGATGGTGTTGGGGAACAAATAGAATCTTAAAAACTTGTTTCTCTCTGGAGATCATTTCCATTGTATGCAGGGGTGGGTTTCTTCTAGTTCTAACCTCTTCTATAGAATTTACTGTGCCGTTTAGAACCGGTTCCAGCTCTCTCCCCCCCTCCCGTCCGCACCATGCTTGCCCGCCCGCCGCTCACTGATTGGCTAGCTCACAATCATCCTGCCCACCTCTAAGAGTCCTATCTAAACCTTAAAGTCTTAAAGCTATCGAGTTTGAATACCCCTGAGGGTTTTTTCTAAAGGGTTAGAGGTGCAAGGGTCTTGTAACTTGACAGCTTTAAGACTTGCATACTTCAATGCCAGAGTTCCTGAGCCAACATGACTGGAGGAGGAATTCTGGGAGTTGAAGTCCACAAGTCTTAAAGCTGTCAAGTTTGAACACCCCTGTTTTTTTTAAAAAAGAATTAGGAGTGTACAGGTCTTGTAACTTGACAGCTTTAAGACTTGCGTGCTTCAAATGTCAGAGTTTCTGAGCCAACATTTTGGTTGCTAAGCAAGAGCATTGTTAAGTGAGTTTCACCACATTTTACAAGTTGTCCATGCCCACCCAGTCACATGACTGCCAAGCCACTCCCATTTGGTCACATGGCCGGCAAGCCACTCCTACAAAGCAGGCCACACTACAGAAGAGATTCTAAAAAAGTTTGAAACCCACCACTGATTGTATGCTATAGATTCCTTTGGATGGGAAAAGAAAAAAGTAACCCTAGATAAACTAGATATCTCAGAGATTCATTTTCCTCTCTCTATCCATCTTGATGATGCACACAAACAGCAGATGAGGGTATATTTTTTAAAATATATTCTTCACAAATCACTCTGAAGAGCTGGCATATGATAAAATGGGAACAGTATTTAAACTGCGTGGGAAGTACCAGCTGTTAACTGAAAGCCTCCTCCAGGCTTCATTATATTCATATTGGTCCTCTTTCTTATCAATTTTGGGGCAAATCCTACTTTCTTTCTTGAATGTGACTCCTCTCCTTGGCCTGTAGTTAGCATGGGTGGAACAAAAGGCAATTATATGTTTCTGTATTTCAAATATTTTCTTTCCTTGGACAAGATTATTATGTAAATGTGACTGAGCATCTCTAAATTTACATGCAAATAAAATGTATCTGTGTGGGTTTCAATGTTAATTTCAGTGAAAACCTAATCCATTGAAATTATGTGATTAAAATGTGATTTCTACAAGCCAAGCAATGTTGTGCATCCATGTAACCTAGTTTGTGTAGTGAATGTATTTTGTATGTCAGATTCCAGATTACACTTATAATGTAACTCGTCACATACACAAACTAAGAAACCCCAGCACATTCCTCCAATGGGGAAAGTTTGGCTTTAAAAAAAAACAAGAGAGGATTCTGCAGAAAAAGGCTACATGAGGAATAAAGCTTTTAGCTCAGCAGCCTCTGTGAACATTTGCTATCTCAAAGAAGCTGGAGAAATCCACAGACTTTGAATACAATTTGCTTTAAAATTTAAAATTTAAGAAATAATCAAAATCCATACCCATTAAGTTGTAGTAGGTTATCTTTTGGTACTGTGATAAGTTTCATGTTCTTTCTCTCACTATACAAATTATGGAATTAGATATTTTTGAGCCCTCGTTTATACTTCAGGTTGTGTTCATAAAAATAAGGGGTTTTTTTTGGTGATTACGAGTGGTGATGTTGATAATGATCCTTCAATATGTTCTGAAGTGTTGTCCATGATATGGTTTCTACATTGGTTGGTGCTGCTAATGATCGAACCATCTTGTAAATTCGTGGTCCACAATATCATAGGAAAAGTGTCCTTTTCCTAGTGTCCCGACAGAGCTTGAAGGTTATTTGCCTCCATAAACATTCGAAATCGACCCATATAGGAAGATGATTCCTGGGTATTAAGAGTCAAAAGGAGCTGGTGGAGCACATGTGTTCATTTAGGAATGGCTGCTGCAGGCTGCTGCTGTTATTGCGAAGATGGCCGCTGATGCCACGCCAATGCCTAGTCCTCTGTGCTTTGTTCTCTTCTAAAATCACATCTCCATCGCCAGTGTTAGATAGGGGGCTGAGGAAAGAGGACGGACGAGGTGGTGGTGAAAGGGCTCTTTATTCTAAGTCCGATGCAACAACCAAAAAAAGCAGCTGGCTTCCTGGCAGTTTCCTCCTTTAAAGGGAGTTGCCCAGGCAGCTCAGCCACTGACAGTCCACCAATTTCCCGACTGGAAATTGGACAAATAGTGGAATGTTACTCTCTTTTACATATGTAACAGATCTGTATTTTAAAATTTTCCAATCTGTCTTCAGGTAAACTGCTCTTTATCTGTAGGAGAAAATTATATATTCTTTTCTATATTTCTTTAACTAATTGGAAAATTATTGTATTTTTGTAATCTGGGGAGCTCCATACAGGATCTCTTAATTTTAAAGGTTAAAAGGACTTTTGTTTTAATTAACGTTGATTTTGTTTACCTTCTGTGATATTTGTCTTTCAAGGAAAGGAGAGCTGATTCTTCTAGTACCACTTTTATGTTGCACGCCTAGGAGATGGCACTAAAGAAATTATTAGAATTTTTCCACTTTGGATTTTTTGTGACAGCATTCTTTCTTTTGCACTCCAGGGTTAAACAGTGGACTACAGAGGAAGCACCGTAAGATACAGGCTAGTGGCAGGAGCTACCAAGCTGCTTCTGTAAATCTGTAAGATGCTGTAGCAGGATCATAAATCCAAAGCCTGGTCCTTTTGTACATGAGTGTCACATAGATTCACTTTTGAATAGTTCAGGCATCTGCCATTTGGCAGATTTCGACTTCCCTGCAGATTCCACTGGCCTTAAAATCATTCTGAATGTTAGAACCACATTAAGGCTGGTGTGGACTGTATGTCAAAGATCCACACAAATAATACAAAACCAAGAGTGTTATTTTCCTTATCTTCCCTTCCCACCAACTGGGCTTCATGCAGCTGCTGGGTATTTGGTTCGCATGGAATCTTGCTTTTGCATTTTTAACATTTGTAAGAAACTAGGAAAAGCCACCGTAACCTGTCTCCTTCCTACAAAAAGTTCTGTGTAATACTCAACCACAGCTACACTGCTAAGCCTGTATCCATAATCTACTGAGACTAATTAAACTGATCACAATAGAAAATAGAATAGAATAGAATGACAGGGAAGGGACCTTGGAGGTCTTCTAGTCCAACCCCCTTACTTAGGCAGGAAACCCTACACCACTTCAGACAAATCAATATCCAACATCTTTTTTTTATAAAGAATTAACTTTTATTAATTCACATATAGTTTTTGCACTTTACAGCTGAAATTCTGAAAACTCAAGCACAACATCTTTGCCCGTCAGCTCTCTTGTATACACCAGAAAATGTTTCAACCTTGCTGACCAACCTTGACGTTGTTCTGTTGTGCTTTGTCTAAATGATTTTTTTAATAAACTGGCTGCCATCCACTTTTACACGGATTCTCTTGCCCACAATTTCACTAGGGAAAACCAAGCCTTCAAGAATGGCATCGTGCATGTCAGTTAAGTGTACGGCTCCTGGGACGCTTTTGCTTGTTTTTTGTGTAGTTTTTTCTTGCTGGCTTGAGTAAAATTTTTCTCTGGGCAATGAAAACCATGTGTTTTCCACTGAATTTTTTCTCCAGCTCACGAACGAGAAGTAGCTGAATTTTCTGAAAAGATTTCAGCTTGGGAACTGGTACGAAAATGATTGCTTTTCTACCACCACCTACTTCAATCTTCTTTGCTGCTGTAATATTCATTTCTCTCAGCTGGGTCTTTAAGTCAGAATTCATCTTCAACTCCAAGAGAGCCTGGGAGATGCCAGATTCAAATTCATCTGGCTTTTCGCCATTGGGCTTCACAATCTTTGTGCTCGAACTGAACATCTTCTTAAAAACGTCCAGTGTTAAGAGAATTCACAACATCTGGAGACAAATCATTCCACTGATTAATTGTTCTAACTGTCAGGAAATTTCTCCTTGGTTCTAAGTTGCTTCTCTCCTTGATTAGTTTCCACCCATTGCTTCTTGTTCTACCCTCAGGTGTCTTGGAGAATAGTTTGACTCCCTCCTTTTTGTGGCAACCCCTGAGATATTGCAACACTGCTTTCATGTCTCCCCTAGTCCTTCTTTTCATCCGTTCTACATAAATTATAGAAATATCTTTCATAGCGAAGGTCTCATAAAAAGAAAGTCCCCAGGAATGCAGAGAATAAATGGCGTCCTAGATTAGTGAGAAATTGAATGCACGTATCATTTGAAGATATTATCAATCGCCATCTCCGACAAAGAAAGCAACAGTCACCTCGCACCCGTCCCGTATCCCTAAAATACCGAACTGAAGGAGCAGCTACTCCCTTTATATAGCATGCGTTACGGTAAAGGGGTGCGGGATACGTCACTTCCTCCCCGGAAGACGGGAGAAAAGATACTTAGAGAACCGAAAGTTGAATCCTATCTCCGTGTGCCAGTAAAACCATATAACTTGTCCCGGAAGTGTGCTATCCAAAAAAAAAAGAAAAGTGGGGGAAGTCTTCCTCTTCCATTTTCTTAAGTCCGCGACACGAGTCCGCCGTCGATTTCGCTCCGAGTCTGGCGGGTCTCGTTCTACTAGAATAGAGCCTCGGTGGCCTCCGTACTGAAGTAAGGCACGGGTGGGGCCGAGGTAGGCCAGGCCGCGCGGGCGGGGCCGGGGCGATGGGGAATCTGTTCGGTCGCAAGCGGCAGACCCGCGTTACCGAGCAAGATAAGGCTGTGCTGGTGAGAGCGGGGACGGGGGAGGAAGGAGGGCGGGGGGGAAAGGTTGTGGGAACGGCAGGCTGCCGTCGCGTGCTGGAAGTTCAGCTTCAGCTTCTCTCTCTCTCTGGCAGCAGAACCCAGCAGGGCTGCCTTTCCTGCGGGGTAACCCTTGGCTGCTCTGCTCCGCCCAGCCCTCCGTCTCCTCCGGAGGGAAGAATGCAAAACAAGACATCTGAGCGCTCCGGGTGCCGGCCGGGGTTTCTGGCACGCGCGGGAAGGGGGCGAAAGAGGGGCGCCTGCACAAGAGCCCGTAACTCCAGGAAGGCGGGAAAGGAAGCGACTTTTGTTCTCCTTTACGGGCAGCTTTACTTCTTCCACGGACTTCCTCGCTGTCCTTTCCCACTTTTCTTTTTTTCCCTCCCCTTTAAATAAAAAGTGTGTCACTGTGTGTGTATGCACACATGCATGCATGCATATACAGGAGTGAGTGCACCCCCTCCCATTTTGTAAATATTTAAGGATATCTTTTTATGTGACAACACTGAAGAAATGACACTTGGCTACANAAACTGCTTAGAGAGGGCTGTAAAAGCACTGTGAAGTGGTATATAAGTCTAAGGCCTATTGCTATACAGTTAAATTTCCTGCCACTGTAGCATAACATCTCAATTAGGGGATTAAAATAGGATCCCCACCCATCAAGAAAAGTCCGGAATCCCTTAAGCTCCCGTGCCAGGAGACTATAGGCAAGGCCCCAATAATCCTTTTCCACTGGCCAGGCATGGCACAGTTAAGGCAGCCAGTAGGACTTGGGAGCTGTGTCCCATGTTGCCAGAACTTGCCAGTGGGTTGTGTATTGGAGAGACTTGCTTTTTTCTTTGTAGGTCTTTCTTCTGGAGGACTAAGTGTGCTAAGGTTGACATCACACCTGGCCAAAGTAGTGCTAGATAAACCCTCTATCTAACTGTGTCTGTTTGAGCCTAAATTTCACATCCTCATGATTGGTGGATTAGATCAGTTGGAGCTCTCCTCAACAGGTCCCCATTCAGACCATTATGGAAAGAAGGCCCATGCATTTGCCAGAGAGCAGGGCACCACTGTCTCCCATGAGCCCTAAGATTACTCATATTAGTGTAGAAAATCAAGCCGGACAATTTAAAAAGAAACTGGGATCCTGGGTGCTTTTTGTGACTACAATCAAGGTCAGGTGGATTTTAACACTGCTGTGAAATTTATTCAAAGGCTGAGAAATTAGGCATTGGGAGGGAGGATGAGGCAACCGTTCCCATGAAAGGGGGAGAAAAAAAATAGCCTTCTCCCAAGCCCCACAGAGCTGCAGCGTCACAAATCACAAAATGGAAGCTTTGTGATTTCAGCTGCAGTGTCGCTAAGCTGGAAGGAAATCCGCTTACGTGCCCAAAGAGGATAACCTTCTGGGAATAACATGGTGGGAATCAGCGCCAGATTAGCACAAAAGCACTGTGAAGATTTTTCCAAAGTCCAAATCATAAAGGAAACAAAGGTCACAGGAAGCCCCTTGAGGACTCCTACCGGATTCTTCAGCCTCCTCTGACATGGGCATGTAGCTCAGTGTATTTAACACTCTAGGACAGTGTTTCTCAACCTTGGCGATTCTGGGAGTTGAAGTCCACAGGACTTAAAGTAGCCAAGGTTGAGAAACACTGTCCTAGAGTGTTAAATACACTGAGCTACATGCCCATGTCAGAGGAGGCTGAAGAATCCGGTAGGAGTCCTCAAGGGGCTTCCTGTGACCTTTGTTTCCTTTATGATTTGGACTTTGGAAAAATCTTCACAGTGCTTTTGTGCTAATCTGGCG